ACCATTATTATCTTATACCTAAGGAAAGCATGTGGAATAGATTTCATAATTAACAAAATGCTGAAGAATCTTCCTCACAAAATAGTAATTAGTAAGCTAACCAGCATTATTAAATGCATACTTTCACAAATCGTACTTTCCCAGTTCATAGAAACACGCACTTAGTTTTCTCATACAAAAACCAGGAAAGGGGCATAATAACTCAAGAAGCTACAGGCCTATAAGCCTACTCTCTGCTCTTAGCAAGATCCTTAAACTACTAATCTACACTCGTATCAAGGGGTACTTTGTTAAGATTACCAACAAACAACACGGGTTTCGCAAAGGTTTTTCGACCACTACTCAGCTTGTTAACATCACAGAAATCATTGGCGGACACTTCCATAACAAAATGAGCGCGGCTATCGGAATGGTAGACATGGCCAAAGTGTTTGATCGCGTCTGGCATACAGGACGTACCTACAGACTCATCCAGATGTAGTTGCCCCGCAGTTCCTATGATCAATTTCTTCCTACAAAATAGCATATTTTCAGTCACGCAAGGAGACATCATTTCGAAAGTAATAACTGTCTACATTGGGGTACTTCAGGTTTCGATCTTAGGACCGATACTCTATATTATGCTCATTAATGACTTTCGAGATGCCTTGCTCACCTGGTATGAAGATGACACTGCTATCCTGGTTAAATCCCACAGACCAAATCACGCTTTAGCTAAGCTCGAGGACAAATCTCAGAAATACAGCATTGGTGGAACAAACAAAAACGAGTATATAGGCTGAGAAATCACAGTGTTGCTTAACAGAAAATTCCGCACTAGGCACCAAATCAGTTACAACATCACTCTTTTGGCGCAACAAGTCCCTAAATTAAAGCACACAAATTACCTGGAAGTCACTTTAAATCGTTCTTTCATTTGGAATTGTTATAACGCATATTTAAGGAATAAACTAGTTGCTATTCTTCAATAAACGGAATAAAATTTTAACACTTTTCGTGTAAATAACATCATCTCATTTTGCATTCCTTTCGTTTAAAGCTAATAATTGTATCACTTAAGCTAATAATTGTATCACTTAAGAAAAGAATCAGGGTTTTTCGAAACTTCAAACTAAAAGTTCACTGAAGTTTTACTACAGTTTCCTGAAATGTCTAGCTTTCAATGGCAATCTCCCAGTACCTAAATTGTTATCCGTGGAAGATTTGAACTCGTCATGAAAAAATAAATTTTCAAGATGTTTGACTCCCGCACTAGAAAATTTGACCGGCATATTTAATTTCAAAATTTTCAATTTCCATTGCTATTTCCAAATTGCTTCGAGGAAGCGATTAATTAAATTAAAGAACAATTCAATGAATTAAGTTAAAATATATTGCAGCAAATAATGTGTAAAATATAATGTTATAATTACTGATTTACGTTTAGTTCATTTTATTCTTTTATACTGCCTCCATGCGGTAGCGGGCGTTTAGCCCACAACCACTTAACCGGCAGCAGTTAGCCGACACGGATACTTAGCCGAGGAGACATTTAGCCGACAGGAAATTTAGCGAACTGGGATACTTAGCCGGCAGGGCATTAAAGAACGTTCTGATCACTCATGAGTGTATCTGATTCGGTGCTTTCTGCAGTATGGATGATTATCAGAATCTGGAGTTTTGATATCAGTTGGAGCGAAAGGGTAAAAAAAGCGTGAATGAGTGGTGTAGGGAGAACAGTTTGATTCCAAGATCATATAAATGTCCAATTTGCGAATGGAATGTGAAACTAGTAGAGAGAAAGAACTGTATAGATGGTCTGATAGTCTTATGGATGAGTGGAGGTGTAGAGTTACGGGAGGTGAATGTAAGCATCGAGTTACTAGGTCCGTTCGAAAGCGTTCGTGGTTTGCGAAGAGTAAATTGAGCATGTGTGGTGTTTGATAAGTGCGGGTATGTTTTTAGCGATCAGAATTATTGCTAAAAATACGGTGACTGATTGGAAAAATGTTTGTTTGGAAGTGAGCATGGAAATATGCTTGAAGGAGAATAAGATGTTGGTTGGGGAAAGCGTGATTGTGGAAACTGACGAAAGTAAATTTAGTAAGCAAAAATTTCATAGAGGGAAAAGAGTCGAAGGATGATGGGTGTTTGGTTTGCTTGAACGGATAAGTGCGTGCTTAGAGTGATTGAAGGAAGAGGTGCCGAGTTATTGTCAGAAATTCTGAAACAAAATGTTCTGCCAGGATCAACTATTATTTCGGATTGCTGGAAAGCCTATGACTGTCTCAAGTCCGAAGGATATACGCACCTAAAAGTGAATCACAGCTTGTGTTTTGAAGATCCGGAGACAGGTGTGCATACCAACAGTATCTTGAGAGGACTTGGGAAGCAATTAACAGAAGTCTCAGTGGTTCTCGGCAGGCAAAAGTATAATTCGATTCGCATTTGGCTGAGTAAATGTGGAGACGAAAATAGAAGAAATGCGACATGTGCAAGTTAATGGATATATTTCTCTGTGAGATGTCAGCAATTTATTCTGCAAAAGAAGAGGAATGAAGGTAAGTTTCATTTCTTATTATTCACTTAAGAGAAATATAGCGTGCTTGTCAAATATGGCAATTTGGATGTTAGGTAAATACTTTATTCTGGTAGTTTTATTTTCGTTGTTGTATCATTTTTCAGGAAACATTTTTTTTTATTATCTCGAATCAATGGAGTTGGTTATGCGCGAGTTTCTGCAATTCTCTGATTTTTTTAAGTGAAAGTAGTAGTTTGCTGTGTGTATTAGTAATGCATAGTTTATTTAATGTTTGATATTTTTGAGAGAAAAGAGATCGCTGTGTACACGTCCAAAGCTAGAGTAGTGCGCATAGTCGAGGTTGTGCGCGATGCCGAGTTCTTGCAATTCTCTGATTTTTTTTAAGTGAAGATAGACCGATTTATACATGATCAAAGCCAAGACAGTGCGTAATGTCAAGTTTGTGCAATTCTCTGACTTTTTAAGTAAAAATAGATCGATGTGTACATGGACACCGAGTTCCTGCAATTCTTTGATGTCTTTCGAGCGAATACAGGTCTTTGTGCACATGGGCAAAGCGAGGTTGTGCGTGATGCCGAACAGTAATGTAACCTATTTTATGTGCAATGTTTAATATATCTTTTGGGCATTTTAAATTTGTGTTGTTGTTTTAACTATAAATTACATTTTGGACATCTTTTTCTTGAATTTAATTCGTATTTTCAATTGTTTTGTTTTGATATGTTGACAACGTTTTCCGACTTACGATAAATATCGATATTCCGACGATATACTCAGTAGTAGCAAAACTGTAAACTTTTGACCCGATAAGTAACTTTTACCGTATTACTTTAATACATAGTGTTTGCTAATGTACTTACACTTGATAATATGTGTGTACGTGAAGCATTGTTAATGTTCCATATTTGTAGTTTTTATTTGCTTATTTTCTCTCATTATGACAAAATTAGATTTTTTTTATTTATTAATGTGTAAAATTCTAGTATACCTACAGAGAATATGACGTGATTTAGGAATTTAAGAAACAGTCATATGAAAGCTGTGTATGATGCTCATACGAAAAGAAAAAAAATTTTTTTTTTATTAATGTAAAGTTTAAAAATTTTTAGAAAATAACGGAGATTGTGTTCTTACTGGTATGTAAGGGATTGTGCCGTTGCGTAGCAATAAGGTGATTTGCAAAAATGATAAAATTAAAATGTTCTATTATAATATACATTTAAATTAAAAAAAATCTTTTTATTTGTATAAAGCTTAAAAATCTTTGAAAATACTAAAGCTGTAAGAAATACAAGTATAGATGACTGCGACGTTGGACTTTAAGGTAACCTTTGTATTATCGCCAAGTTGTTGTGGTAGCTTGAGTAGTTTAATGTTATGGAAACCCTATTGTGACGTAATCGGGTGCATGATTCTGGGAAATTTTGAATCATGGGATGCTTTGTAAGCGTTTTTGTGGTGTGTGTTGGTTTGATTCTTTAGACGGTAGAATGGCCTAATGTAGTAAGATTAATTTGAAGTTTCTGTACAATTTGGAGCGAAAGGGGAAAAGAGCTTTAATTGACTGGTGTGTAAATGAAGGTTTACTTATTAGCCGTTATATGTGTCCTTGTGTGTAGGAAGAATATGCGTCTAGTCGAACGTAAAAAACCGTTTAGATGGATTTGAATGGGTTTGTAGGAAGAAAGGTTCAGATGGTCACTATGTGAAGCGTTCGATCAGAAAGAGTACCTGCTTTGAAAAAAGTCCATTTCGAAGTATGATTGATATTTTGATTTTTACGTGGCTCTGGGTGTACGAAGCAAACTCGAAAATCATGGTAAGTGAATATTTGCTTTTGGTAGTGCTTAAATGATAACGTGTTTTTCCTTTTCTATGTTATTTTATTGTTTGGTTTAAAATGCATTTTTTGTCTGCCTATATTGGGGAATTTGGTGCTCCTTTGACTTTTTTAAGTGAAAAATATATCGATGTGTACATGTACAAAGTAAAGTGAGTGCGCAATGCAAGTTTGTGCTACTCTTTATTTTTTTAAGTGAAAATCGGTCGACGTGTACATGGCTAAAGTTAAAAGAGTGCGCAATGTTGTTTATGATTTCCTTAATTTTGATTGAAGTGCCATAACTTCAGAAGTACTATGAAAGCATGTAAACTTTTCTATGAGAAACGATATTTTGAAAATATTTTAATGCTTTTGAAATTGCTTCATAGCATGTGATGCCTTTTATGACGACACATCGTAATTATTCATAAATTTTCAAGAAATAGGAAAAATATCTGGTTTCTTCTTGATATATTTAGTATCATTCAGTAAACCTCTCATGGTACTCCCTAAAATGTGGGAAATCATACACACTCTTGGAAAAACAATTCGATATGCTCTAAGAGTCTACGGAATAGTTAAATGCATGGTATGAAACGATAAAAATCATGCATAAAATTCAGTATATTTTTACTCTCATTATTGAAAATCTCTTTCTAAATTCTAAACCAGTGATATTTTCACTTTTATTACTTTATTGTATCTTACGGCAAAATATTGACATCAAACTGTAACTAAAAGTGAGAAAATATAAGAATCCAGGTAGTAATAAAAAATAGCTTTGACGCGTACAGTGGTTAAAATAGTAACATGTTATTTTCATTCCTATTTTTAAATCCACGAATCTCATTTGTACCACATAACAAAATGGTCGTTGTTTTGCGGGATGACATCCGCTGGACCTGTAACACAGAAAAAGAAGGAATTAGTATATCAACAGTCGTATAGTATATTATTTCTGTACTATGATCTCCTTTTTCTAATTATGTAAGTAATGAAACCTTATAAAAGTGGCATCATTAATTTTTTTAAAACTGAGGAATATTAGTACGCTGCATAAAAATATATTATTACTCGAAACTGGTACAGATGTATTAAATAAAAGTTATTATATCGTTCATCTTACCCATACCAAATTTGGCATGACTATTTTGAGCACACTAGAACAACTGCCATGTATGTCTTCGTTTTCCAATCACTCCTCAAACCGAGAAGTATCAGAAAATTATGAAAGCAGCGCTGCAAGAAATGATTATGAAATTTTAATCGCCATAATATTTACTGTGCATTATTGCGCTAACTACCCTCCATTGCCGACTTGATATGCAGGGCATGAATTTACCGAGTAGTCATATTAGATTTGAAAGCGGCGTTAGCTCGGGACCAACGAAATACCTGTCACTAGTGGTCTGGCTCGTAGCCCAGTAACGTACAATAGCCTTCCGATGGATTATGTAGATAATGTTGGACATCCTGAGTTTAACATATGATGCGCAAATTCACTCACAGTGCATTCAAGATTATTAAGCACCATTCATTTTATCCGATGATCCCTCCAAGCAGAAAGGTAGCCACTGACCACCACTTGCTATCATCCGACATTGTTCTCGCAACTCGTAAAATTTATTTGTGGAACGAAGATGTTACAAAACGCAGGCAACAAAATCAATATTTGGAGCTTCGCGCCGTTACTGACGATATGCACCAGACACTTTCGTGACGAAAGATAAACATGTCAGTGTTACCTATTTCCCAATGTTAAATTTAATTTCTTTTTACCTCTTATAGTGATGCTCTTGTTTTCAAAGTAACTAATGTCAATGGAAACGTTTTAAGGTACTTCGTTGTTAAAATAACCACCGCGGTTAGTTGCCAATTCTAACAAATTCAGTCGCACAATCTGGTAATGTATCACATTTTAAACACCGTCAAAGGCATTTCCAAAGCAAGCTTTAACAATGATATACTGTTTTTAAAGTGGTATAAGGTATTTCCCCCGCCATCCTAGCATGCCTTCGTGATGTAGTGGCCAGCACACTGAGCCGGTATTTTAGAGGTCCGTGGTTCGATTTCCTACACACCGCCCGTCGCTACTACCGATTGAATGATCTAGTGAGGTCTTCGGACTGGCTCTCAAGCGGCTTTCGAGTCGCGTCGGTGTGCCGGAAAGATGACCAAACTTGATCATTTAGAGGAAGTAAAAGTCGTAACAAGGTTTCCGTAGGTGAACCTGCGGAAGGATCATTACCAATCGTCAGTTTCGTCTGGCAAAAAACATTGGTTAAACTCGGGGAGGAGGGTTCGCCTTCCTTTCCTGTGCTGCGCGCCACAGAGCGGCGTGGAAGTACAGAAAAACTTTGAATGCTTATTTTTGAAATCCCAAGTGGTCTCGTACCCACATCGAAGTGAATAGTATATTTTCCCGGTCGCAGATTGACGACAAGAGGGAGGTGTTGGACTTTCGGGTCCGATGCTAGGTTTAATGAGTACCGCCACAGTTGGTGGACCGCCTCGCAGGTACGATATCCTGGTGGGGCCCTCTGAAGGAAGAGCGACGGAGAGCTCGCGACTTCGGTCGACTTCTGGTGGGGACACTTTCCATGAATTGAACGCTTCTTCGTGCTTCCCCGCAAAGGGAGGTATTTCTTTCATAAGACTTTTGAACGCAAATGGAACCCCTCAGGGATCCATATAATTATAAAAAATACCTAATGTCTCTACAGTGGCGACCGAAATAAAAAAGGGTGTTGGATGAGTATTTTCTACACCCAGGATTTGGCGATATGGTACCCTAAAAACCCCATTCGCCCTTTAAAAAGGTGAGTGTATAAGGTATTTCCCACGCCTTCCTAGCCTGCCTTCGTGTTGCAGTGGTCAGCACATTGGGCCGGTATTCCAGAAGTGCGTCATTCGATTCCCAGCGAAGGCGTTAATTTTTCATCTTTCCTGCTTCGAAAAAATACCTAATGTCTCTACAGTGTGTCATTCTATTTTGTTGTATACTGAAGAAACAAAACTAAGAGATACATTTCTTATGTTTAGAAAACGTTTTACCGTAGTCGATTTGTTTGGTTGATCATATTCCATCAAGGCACGCGAAAGCTATCTGCTTAAGGAAAGCTCTTAATGCAGCCAGTCCATTCGCCTGGAATCGAAATTACGTTGAGTTAGTGAGGTCCATCGACTTTTCTGCTCGGCGGCGAGCGGGCCGTGAATCATTTGAAGATATCTTAACTGCTTATCACTGGTGAGCTCCTGGTTACCACAATCGAAATGAGCTCATTTCGTTTTCTAGTGTGGAATATCAAACTGGCGCATATATTTTGTTACAGAAAATCATTTAACGTATGTTGTGTTATAATAACAAATGGAAAAGACCCTAATATTTAAATAATGGAAAAATGTAAGAAAACAATTCAAAATTCCTATTTTAAAATTACTTTGTGGCATTGTCACAGTCTTTGTTTGATAAGCTTTCGAAAGAAATCTGGCATCTCGCAGTGGCTTAAATTCAAGAAAAATACTCATGGTTCAACGTTTCATCTTCATTTGCATATTGTCATATTTCAAAAGTTTGGTAAGGGTTTAATATAAAACTTAATCAGATTATAACTATAGTATCACAAAGATACGCCCCTTTAACCACAGTACAATTTTTCCTTTACTTCGTTCAAGCGCGTTAAAAAAGTACAAATTATTAAAAATGAAACTGAAAATTATTGCTGATTGCAAGTTCGATGGATTTTGTCCATCGAACATCAAGCATTGTTGTTATAATAAACACAATACAAGTTCACGAGCAAGTTACAATAGTAGGTCGAAAGAAGAAATTTGGGGCTAGTAACGATTCCCCCCCCCACCGCGCCGCAGATAGGAAGGAAGTAGAAGTTACATCATTAACAGGATTATTGTGCTAACTACGCTCCATTGTCCATTTGATATTCAGCATAAGAAGTGACCGTCGCTAGTCGTCTGGCTCGTAGCTCAGTAACGTACCACAACCTTCCGAGGGATTATGAATATAATGTTGGACATCCTGAGTTTAGTACATGACTTCCAAATTCATTCACAGTACATTAAACATTATAAACCGCCATTCATCTAATTCTATGATCCGTCCAAGCGGAAAGTTAGTTTCTGGCCACCACTTGTCGCCATATCCGACACCGTTCTCGGTCGCCATATACGACACCGTTCTCGCAACTCGTAGCAAACACAATATTGAGTAATGCTGACATTTGGCCTAAAGGCGCGGATATCTGCAGGAGTGATGAATCTACACCTCTGAATTCAAGAACTCAATCTCTCCCCGTTTGTTATAGGTGGTGATAGGTAATTCGTGGACGAACTCGAGGCATCGCACTAGCAAACCACGAGACTTATCGGATTCCGAAATCTCACGTGAAAAAGGCAGCATGAATTTATGTTCCTAATGCTCATTCACGTCTCGAACACAGATTGATACGTATGTGTTCTTTCTGTATTTTTGCATTAAGTAATGGTATTTATATATTTAATCTTAGGAATTATATTTAATCTAGAAATTGTAACTTGAGTCCATATTACAGATTTCTGTTGGGTACCTAGGTATACCTTGCGCCTCTACCCCACAAATAAAGAAGAAAGGCCAGTTCTATATCTCCCGTTCTACTGGGCCTAACGGAATTTACCTTGCACCTTTCATGTACTGAAAGTGAGATTTAGGATATATATTAGATTTAAGTATAGCGTTTTATCCAACATAATATAGGTATTCTGACACACAATCAGACTCTTCTGAAATGACCTACAGATTGTTTTCCATATTTCGATCCTAATACTCAAATTCTGAAAAGAGCTAAATTTTGCAAATATCGCGAGACTAAATTTAAAAAAATTAGCTCTCAAAATTTTAACTGCTCAATGTTAATTGAATTTGGTACATATTTATTAAAATCTCATTTTTTATTAAACTTACTTGATTCCTTTTTACACAATTCGAATTTATGTTCAATACACATAAAATTCGCAGCTGGTTTCTGGTTTGTTTTTAAAATTTATATTTAGTAATTTAAAAAAAAATTTTGAAACACAAACTATAATATTTTTACCATCACCTTAAAGTAGAAGTATACCTAACATATTTTCATTCAAAATTTCCAACGATATACGTGAAAACGTGAATTTATATACTGACGCATTAAGAAATTTGCCATATTAGTTTATTAGTTATATAACGACAAAGGTGCTTTACGAATATTGTTAAAAATTATTTGAGGTAATGAACAATGCACCCTTTTTTTCGCTGAAGCACATTGAAAAAAGGGAAAGGAAAGTAGCTTGCTACAAATTAAAAATTTCGCGAACATTTCTTGCCGCAAATTGAAAAAAGTGCACCAAGATAAATATTTCAATTTCTGGATAAGTTTTTCACCAAATTTTATAAAATTTAATATTTGGAGATAATTTGAGTAGTAGAATCGAAATATGGCAAAAGATCGGCATGTCATTTCAGAAAAAGTCCGATTTTGTGTCAAAATATAATTATTGTATCTATGCGGTATGTGAAATAATTTTGAGATCTAAATTAAGAACATAAATCTTAAATGGCTTAATGGAACAATGGTCTAACTAATGAGCATGACAAAGCGACACATATTTGCTAACAATATTTTCTATGTAAAATGTTTACTAAAGAATATGTCAACCTTCAAAGCTTTTTTACGACTAACTAATTGATTTAAAATATTGATCTTTATTCTATGAAGTAAAACTTTGGATTTTTTAGATACAAAACTACAAAGCAAGAAACAATATAAATTGCAGTTTGGTCTTTAGTTTCACTTTTGTACTTACTCTTTGTAATTGGAAGATACTTGATTTCATCGTTTTCTTTTTTTACGAAAAAGGGAAGCCAGTACTTTTGTTTTTCGGGATCATCCTGCAAAACGTATAGCGAGAAGATGTAGGGCTTTTTATTTCTCACATTGTACTGGAAACTGCAAAAAAATGAGAGTACTGTAAGGAGAAAATATGATCTGAAAACGTTTTGCATTCCTAGTAAGAGGTAAATGGAGATTAAAGACATAAAATTAATGAATCATTCCATAAATAATTTTTTTAATGTGCAAGTTTATTATTTGAAACTAACCACTTGTTTATAATTTCAGCCTTTACTATAACATCTACTTTCCATTTCCTCCCCAGAATGTAAATCAATTAAATAATATTTAAACAGAGGTTTTTGAATGATAAGGTAGAGCACGTTTCCGCCTTTTACGGTACCTTGCGCCAGTTTTACCTTACGCTAGTTCCTTCCAGCTCTGATAAGTTGGTAATCATTCGGCTTTTTGTTAATGTTGCCCACATTTGAATTTTATACCCCAATTAGTAATTCTGAGGAAACCTAAAATTAAATTTAATCGTGTATGCTACCAGCCTACGTTTTTAATTGAAATTGACTGTATCTTTAGTTTTTGTAGACAAATATGATGTCATACGGCGATAGGAGCGCCCTCACCTGAAGTAAAAGTTAATTAGATGTTAGATGCTAGACGACAAGGGCGTGTTAGTCTTATCCTTTGATTTTTTACAATTTTCCATATGCAGATTTCTGATTAACTGTACATAGTGTAAGTAAATGTTTAATATAATCTTGCTTTGAGTCAGTCATAGATATAGATATAATGCTCTTCATATAGAAAAATACCGTATATACCCGCGTATAAGTCGATACCGCTCATAAGTCGACCCCCCCACTTCGACATAAAAAATTCGTAGAAAATAAGAAACCCGCGTATAAGTCGACCCCCCACTTCCGAAATCGATCGAAGAACTTCGAAATTTTTTTTTAAGTACTACATATATTCAAAATCATCTGAGAAAAAAAAAGTAAATATACGATAAAAAATACCTTGGTAAATAAACAAAATAGAACTCTTCTGTCGTCAATGGCTCGTCATCATACATATGTTTCGTACATAAAGATTCGCGTACGTAAAATCTATCTGCATTTCCCCTTTTTAAAAGTTAAAAGAAATATTCAAAAGTGCTCAGTTATGCGTGGGCTATTTTTTAAAATTTGACGTGTACGGCCTGTTAAACAAAGTATTTCATGAATGAACAATAACTATTTAAAGACTTGTACGTACATAAAAACTATCTGCTTCTCTTTTCTTGGCGGTTGGCGAAACTGTTTTATTGCTCGATATTGATCGGTTGTTCGGGGGCCGAAAATTCTTTGGTTAATCGAAACTTACTCTAGTTAAAGTATGAAACTCTGTGATTAGTTCGTCACATAATTTAAGTCACGAAATTACTTCAAGTAAGTGACTTATTTGATAAGTCGTCCAATTTGAGTGCGGGAAGAAAACAACTGCATTATATAAAGAAATTTTTGAACTTCCGATTCTTTTAAGTTTTTATGGCCCCGCGTATAAGTCGACCCCCCACTTTGAAGTCTTTTTTTTTTTTTAACAAAATATCTGGACTTATACGCGGGTATATACGGTAGATCTTAGATACGGTAGATTTTCGACTTAGAATAGCCTTCCGCGTTAGTTGTATCACCATGAGTTGTGGCTAATTTATTGGCACAAGGATGTGCACTGATGTTCAAAGCTCATGTTTAAATAAAAAGTTTTATTTTAAAGCTTTCCGAGTTTCTGTATTTCCTTTCACACATAGCAATAGTTCGCTTTACATCATTTAGGGTTTTGGACTATTCAACTTTTAGTAGATCAAGTAAAATCTTTTAAACGTTTTCTTAGAGCAGAATCTCTATTTAAAGACAGAAGATCTGCCTGAGGAACTTCAATTCATCTCTTTTATGCGATTCTGAGAATAAAAGCTATTAGGAGGATTTCTTGCCGTGGAAAAGGTAGGTTCTACGTACAAACGAGACTAAGGATTTGAAAGAAAGAACTAAAGTTTTACATTTCCATCTCTCTAAGCTAAGAAAAGAGCCATTCTTAACTGAATAGCTTTCTAGTAGTTACTAAAAATCAATCTTTTCTATACACGGCTTTAAAGACAATGTACAGTTAAAGACAAGAAATCATCTGCAATAGCCAAAATAAATAACGCTGTTCTTTGATGAGATATAGAAAGAATCTATACTATTAAAATCTGCATGTCAATTGCTACTCATTATTTTTAAAGAAATAATAAAACAGACATAATAAGACATGTAATGACAGCACTTAATAACCTATCTGGAATTCAAAAGATATACTGCTTTTAAAAATTTTGTGCTTTAAAAATTTTTTAAAAATTGATGGTGGATCCGAAACACTACATGATCAGAGGATATACTACGATTGATGCGTTACTTTCAAATCAAAGCATGAGAATGGATGTGGGCATGAGACTGTATAGTTATCATAGGCCATTGTACGGGAGAGCAGAATAATAAATAGTTAGTAGTATTTATCATTGAGCCATAAAGTTTATAAACAAATTATATTAATTTACAAATGATCAACCGGAAGTGATAGTTTACTTGAATCTCGTTGTCATTCCGCGAATTATCTGTCTTAACATGGAAATGGCAAGAAGTCATGTGCTGGCCATATCAGATTTTTTTTCTCTGTTTCTTAGCGCCACTCGGCTCTGTTTAAAAGCCATCGTTCCTCAGTCTTATTAAAATACTTTCCACTTGGAACTTGTCTGTGTTTTAAAATGTTTTTAAAATGATATATGACATTGCTATTGAAAATGCTGTTCTGCGACTTCCTACCGTATTATCAGGGTGATATCATTCCCTGAAACGTTACAATAAATTTCAGTTTGCATATACTTTCCGTAGCAAAGGCCTAGGATCATCTTCTATCCTTTGGCATGAAAACCTAAAAAATCAAGTAAAAAATAAGTTTTACCGATGGCTTTACCGAACCACCATCCTCAGCTGCAAAAACGCAAATGAACGGGATAGGATATAATGATCAGATAAGATAAGAAACCTCGACAGAAAAAAAGCTAGTGGCGCCATCTATTCATGAAACCAGAACTAAAACATAATTTCTTTAAAGGCCGAAGGCAAAGATGGATTGGAATTAGGATCGCTAACTAGAACAGAAATATTTTTTGAATGTGAAATGCCTCTAGAAAATCCAGTTCTCCAATGGAAGATGTTTTTTGTATAATTTTGACAGCAGAAAAATTGAAAGTATGATTTTCGGACCAACAATGTTGAGCAACAGAAGACTTCTGTGTTTCCTTTTTTCTAACATGTGCCTCATGTTCCTTGACGCGAAATTTTAAAGCTCTCTTAGTTTGGCCAATGTAAATTAAACCACACTGAAAAGGAATCCTATAAATACCCCAGGAATTCCTATTTGGAATTGGGTTCTTGAGTATGGAACTCGGAATTTTATTGATAAACAACCCGAAAGTTAAATTCCTGCAAAATATGTGCAACTTTATAGCTAATTGATGGAAAGAAGGGAATGACAATAGAATTTTTATAATCTACTAAAACAAGAGTGTGCCTTTAAGTGTGTTGAGATGAGAATTTTTTAACTGCTTGATTAATAATGTTGGGTGAAAAGCCCCTGTCAATAGCTATTGCTTTTAAATAATTTAGTTCTTCATCAAGGGCTAGTTTGGAAGAGCAAACGTGAAGACCACGGAAAACATAGGTATAAAATGAAGCTAACTTTTGTTTAGTCGGATGACATGATTTAAAGTGTGGTGGAAGGCAAACCGATGAAGGTTTACGGTAAACCGTAGTACTGAAGTTGGATGTGTTACGTGTGACCAGAATGTGGAGAAACGGAAGAAAATTCCAAGCCTCAATTTCAAAAGTGAAATGAATGGCAGGATCAGTATAATTCATTGTTGAAAGAACTTTATTTAAATCATCTTTATTACCTTCAAACAGGGTAAAAGTATCGTCAACGTAGCGGAACCATGCCAGGAAGTTTAAAGTTTCAAACAATTTTGATTCAAAATAGTGCATGTAGATATCAGCCAGGATGGGACTGAGGGGGCTTCCCATGGCTAATCCCTCAGTTTGCTTGTAATATTTATTTTGGAAAACAAAATGTGTTTGTTTCAAACAGAGTTGAGTGAGAGAAATTAGCTTATCAATTTCGATGCAAGAGAAATGAAATCGCGAAGTCTGGTTTCTAGACATCTAAATGCACTCTCCACTGGAACATTGGTGAATAATGATTTTACTTCAAAAAGAACTATGAGTAAATTTCTAGGAGAAATGGTTTTAACCTTTTTTACAAACTCTATTGAATTCTTTTGTACATTATTAATACATTACTAATCAAGCAGTTAAAAAAACCGATGAAGGTTTACCGTAAACCTACATCGGTTTTCTTTCTACGACACTTTAAATCATGTCGTCCGACTAAAGAAAAGTTAGCTTCATTTTATTCCTATCTTTTCCGTGCTCTTCAAGTTTGCTCCTCCAAACTATCCCTTGATGAAGAACTTAATTATTTAAAAGCAATAGCTATTGGCAGGGGATTTTCATCCAGCATTATTAATCAAGCAGTTAAAAAATTCTCATCTCAACACACTAAAATGCACACTCTTGTTTTAGGAGATTATAAAAATTCTGTTGTCCTTCCCTTCTTTCCATCAATTAGCTGCAGTTGCACATATATTTCCCATAAATTTAACTTTCGAGTCGTTTATTCTCCCATCAATAAAATTCCGAGTTCCATACTCAAGGACCCCATTCCGGATATGAATTTCTGGGGTATTTATAGGACTCCTTGCCAGTGTGGTTTAATTTGCATTGGCCAAACAATCTTTCTGTTCTAGTTAGCGATCCTAATTCCACTCCATCTTTGCCTTCGGCCTTTAAAGAAATAATGTTTTTGTTCTGGTTTCATGAACAGATGGCGCCACTAGCTTATTTTCTGTCGAGGCTTTCTTATCCTATTTGATCATTATATCCCATCATGTGCATTTGCGTTTTTGCAGCTGAGGATGGTGGTTCGGTAAAACCAGCGAAACTAGTCCTGTAAAAGTTTGAAAATATAACGCTGATTTTAGTTGTTTGACTTCTGAATTATGTTGCATAGTTTACAAAACTTCATTGAATTTTTCACAAACTTGTAAAGTCTATGTCTCTGCGAACATTTAATGTCCCAAATTAGACTTTAAAAAGGACTATTGAAGAAATATCTTCTAGCCTTGTGAGACAAGACAGAAATCAGAAGAAGGGTGTATAAGACTCTTTGATTCTAACACAATAAAGTAATAAATGACCCACCTTGGGTTACAATGAGGCAAGCACTTCTAGCTTAAGAGAACCACGTAACAATAATAATTTCATGGTGTGGTAGGATAACAGCTCAAAGAATACTTCAACGCGCAGGAAACGATTCTTTAACGCGCTCTGATTTGGCGTAAACCGGCTAGACAAAGCTCAATGGCTAGAGCAATTAGCGCTGCTAAAGCAAGTCCCTAGTAATCACAGTACACCGTGCCCTGGAATAGGCAGACACGCTCTAAAACCTAACGTCCGAAACTCTTGCTTAAATAGCACTTTCGTCTACCTTACTCTGAATAAACTCTCGCTATTTCATTTACATTTTACTTGGGGTAAAAGAGAGTAATAGGAAAGACAAAATAAATTACTAGTTAAAAATAAATAAATAAAACTCACATTCGCAACCATTTGAAACCGACGCTGTACTGATTTTTTTTTTCGCTTATTACGTGCTCCGCCCTTAGGCACTATATGGAAAGGGAGGAATGCCGCGTGGAAGTCTTTTTAAAGGAAACTGGCTCGTATCCACGTTACACATGGGGATAACCACGAAAACGCCCATGCAGCCAGCCATTCGCCGGGACTGGAACTACCAGTGTTCAGCGGCTCGGCCGGAACTACCCTCAGCCGCTGGTCGGCCTTACGCTGTACTGATTAAAACATTATCATATCCAGCGTGAATCTGTGTATAGGAAATTCCAAAGATATGCAGTTTTTAATTATTTTGTGATCTTGCTATAACTGAATTTTATGTAACTTAGGTATGTAGAACACGATGCTTAATAAATTTAACACACAAAAAGCTAACGACAAAAAAAAAAAAAAAAAAAATCGCAAGCCATCTTACTAAGAAATCCGTACATTGCTGAAAAAAATGCAAAAATGTAGGCCAACAGTTAACACTTTATCGGGAATTCTAAACACATGCTGCTTTTAAACTATCTGTAATTCGGCTGCTGAATGTTTAAGTACGAAGCAAATGTTGCTTAAATAATGAAACTGAAATTGTAAAAAGAAATGCAACAGCAGACTGGTAAAGTGCCAGCTGATGTAGAGCGTAGAAAAATCTTAACAAATCCTTTTAGGCAACCATTAAAATCTCAGCTTTTTTTTCTTACGCTAATAGAATATTTTAAACTGCTTTTATTTGAAATTGTTTAAAATAATAAAGGAAGAAAAGAATAGTGGTAAATTTTACACAGTGAAGAGATCCGATAAAGTACTTTTGTCAAAAGAGCATCACTGTTACTGTCACCTTGAAAGAAGATATTATGTCGTCAGTGCATCTGAGATATAGAAACAATAGTTTTTATTTAAGCATTCCTTGAAATCGGGAAATTAAATTTGAATTACATCCTCAAATATAAAAATTTTATATTAAAGTTATTCTTTTGACTCAATTTGAAAATAATCTCCTAAATGCTTTGGAGTCAGTTTAAGAACTCGCGTCAACACTACATAAAATTCAAGTATTACCATTAACAGTTGAAAGTAATTTTTGCAATTCACCATTTCTTTTAAAATAAAGATCCATTGAATTTCAGTTCAGTTTAGATTAAATGTGCAGTTTCATGCATTAAATGGGCCGTCAGATGAAATTTTGCTTAAAATGCTTTAGTTTCTAGACAAACTTATTCCTAAATAGTTAGGGTCATTAGGTTTTTTTTTTCGGGGAGGGGGGGGGAAGCAGGAGATATACAAAACCTGCGAGTAGGATTCCAATTACACCAAAAAGACATTCGGAAAAGAGGTAGAAAATAGTTACTAGGCATAGAGGTTCTTACATGTAAGTAAATAAACCATAAATTAATACCTGAATTTGGAATCTACTTCAGCTGCCGTTTCCATAATGGCGTAGAGGGAGATGTTGGTCGGCACCCTCAGCCCGAGATTCCTTTCCAAGTCCCTATTTTCTCCTATCCAAATAGAATACTGAATGTGCCATTTTGGGCCAGGTTGATTCACTAAATTCCAGAGGCTTCTTTTCTCTGCATATAAAGAAATTAATCAAGTTGAAAAAGCAATTGAAATATTTCAGGCACAATAGGAAGGATTAAAGTCTCTATATATTAGGTGAGGTTAGGTTAGCTATATGTGCAGGGCCACTTATTATTTACCCTGATTAAGTAGGTATAGGTCCCTTACACAAGCTATGCATAGTAGCACCGTCTTCCTGGAGCCCGAGGCACCATTCTGGTGCCGAGGTGCCGAATCTTTGCATAATGATTTGGGTGGGATCACTTGTGTTGAAGAGTTCTAGACCCTTGATGTCAGAATATATTTGGATAATGCGCTTCCTCATATGGCTATTACTGTTTGTGCATTTGACGTACGGAATGACATCTTGTTCTAGTCTTGATTTTCTCAGGTGCAGACTTGTTATGGATTAATGTGAATAGGTAATGCTTTGGATCGCTTCTCTCCCCACATACGCATAGGTGTGAATGTGCGAGATTTCTCTTGTAGAAGCATGTGGAAAAAGGGCCATGCCCTGAGATCATCCATGCTATTTGATTACTGACGAAGTTTGCTGTGGAGTTTATGCTTGGATATAGACCGTTCGTGCGACTGCCCTATTCGGACAAAACCCACCAGTGTTGCCATGCTTTTTTAAATGTATTTTTAGTTGCATCTTAAGATGGGATCTTGGCCATGGACATTCTAGTATATGAATAAATCCTTATAAATTTAGGATATGAAATATAAAATTATATATTTAAATCGAATTCCTCAAAACAGTGTTATCAAAAAATAAAGGAGAAATTTTTATGCTATTATTCCATTTCAAGTTAATAAATTGTAGGAAAATTTTAGCTTATTGAAAAAAGTGGTAGCTGTGTATTATTCGCCTGGATTACTGACATATGAGAATACAAATGTCCTGCATGTGAAGTAATAACAATTTATATTTTTTCCAGGGTACAAAATTCATTCAATGAAATTTATAATGTTTACAAATTAGATAACTATAGTTTCTGTAAAAGTTTAAAATCAGACACATACACACACACGCGCTCGTACGCACACGAAAAAATATATATATATGGTTTTCAATTGGCGTATATTTTGAATAAAACTCTACCAAATTTTAGAGCAATCAGAAATATGTCTTTAATCGCAAAGAAGCCAAATATTTTTGCCTCTGAAGAATTTGCAGTTATGTCTGATCGCTCTCGAAACAATGAAGTGGTATTCAAAATTGCTCCAATCTGAACTTGCTTTTCTGCTTAATTTATAATTTTACAATGGCGTGCTTATCTTAAAATCAAATTTATGTGATTTACCCTTTTACCAAGTAATTGCCATCTAGTTTACTAACTGTTACTAATAGACAATAAATAGTTTACCATCCATTTCGAAATCTTGGCAATGCTTGTTGCTGATATTCACCAAACTTCTGTTATTAAGAAGTGGTAGAACATAGTAAGTGTTCACAACATTTCCAAAGGAACCATCCGATTCCTGACTTGCAAGAAGCTGTTTCATGGCTTTTTCTTTGTCGAAATTTTCATTGTCGTCCTCCGTTTCTGAAGCAGATAAGGCCTAGAAATGACAATAAAGTTTCGTTGAATCATTTGATGGCGCCAATTATATCCATTAAACAACATTGTTTGGGAATCCTTAATACATGAGCACTTTTAATCCATCAGTGTAAAAATCTAGCGTTACATTGTGATTATTTCAGATCAATATTATTCCTAATCTTAGAAAAAGATAAGCGTTGGATTTTATGCCAGTCATGCAGTAATGTACATATTCACATATAGCTTTTTCCTTAACCTAAATTAAAATTTTCAGTAATTTCTTCATTTCCAGTTTAATTCGTTGTACAATCCTGCAGAAACTCTGTCATTTTTATTACATTATTCAAAAATGATGAAAAGAACTGCACCTTTTTATTACATCATTTTCATGTTACCAGAAGTCAATGGTACAGAGAGGTCACCGAGAATCAGTGACAACACTAAAAGCCACTATTTGACGGCAACGGTTTATGTACAAATGCTTTTCATACTGCCAATAATACCTCAGCTAAACTTCAAACAATCCTCAATCAGGATGATAGCCTTATTCAACATGTATTAAAGGTTATTTTATGTTCTGCTATAGACGATAATATAACAGCCATTAAAAAACTTTACGTAATAAAATTCCTTTAAAAGAAGCTAATTCCTTAAAAGAAATGCTAATTGTGATAATTGAACTGCAGTGTATTGAAAACTCATTAAAATGTTTCTTTTTTTAATATTTACTAATTTTTTTATTATTCTATAGTACATATTTCTTAATTTAACACAACTGAGATCTTTAAAACAAGCGGCTAATTTTAAAGCGAAGTTGCAAACAATTTGTATAGAGAGGAAAGAAATACTTTACGGAAAATGTTTCCTTAAATACAATATCAGAATGATTTAAATTATTAAAAAACATGTTAACATATTATGCAGTGCATAAAATTATATTATAATTTTTTTTTTTTAATCTGATATCATATTGAAGCAGTTTCTTTGAAACGAAAGGAAACTGGAAACAATTCCTTTGTTTTGTTATCATAAAAAATCAGTTTTTATTGCAGGTAATACTAAGTAGCTCATATTTTTAAGCTTAATTTTCCAATACCTCATGCTTTAAAAAAAGATTCCTCTTCTAAATTTTATTTTTGTGGTCAGCAGGACGACTTTTTTAAGTCTTCTTTTGGTTACAGCCGAAAACATCGCGGCAAAAACACCGCGGCCGAAAACGTCGAGGAGAAAATAACGCAAGGCGAAAACGTCGTGCTACAAAACATCGTGGGGAGAAAACATCGCAAAGAGAAAACATCGCAGTTCTAAAACATCGTGGTACAAAACATCTTTGTCGAAAATAAAGCGGTTCAAAAACTTTGCAGTTTAAAAACATTGTCGTCGAAAGTATCGTGGTAAAAAATAAAGTATCTACAAATCATCGCATGACGATAACATCGCAGACATGCTTTTTTGCAGGCTATAGTAACTGTAAATGGAAATTCCCATAATGATTTGTGAGCGCAAGATGTAAAAAAGGATAATTTTTACTTTCATATTTTTTTATTAATTAATAAATTTTTGCTGAGAATGTAAGAAGGAAACTTAAGAATAGAAAATTAAATGCAACTTATAGATTATACTTTTCATGAAAAATTACCAGTAAAAACTTCATAAAAATGATTTATTAATGGCGTTTCTTAATTAACTATGTCAATTTAAAATTTTATTAAGTGCTATAAGTTGCAATAATTTTCTGTGCTTAAGTTTCCTTCTTATTTTCTCAGTAAAAATTTATTAGTTAATAAAAAATGTGAAAGTAAAAATTATCCTTCTTTCCATCTTGCGCTCACAACTCATTATGGGAATATCCATTTACAGTTACTAAAGCCTGAAAAAAAGCATGTCTGCGATGCTATCGTCATGCGATGATTTGTAGATACTTTATTTTTTATCACGATATTTTCGTCGACGATGTTTTTAAATTGCCAAGTTTTTGAAGCGCTTTATTTTCGACGACGATGTTTTTAAATTGCGAAGTTTTTGAAGCGCTTTATTTTCGACAACGATATTTTGTACCATGATGTTTTAGAACTGCGATGTTTTCTCCCACGATGTTTTGTAGCACGACGTATTCGCCTTGCGTTGTTTTCTCCGCGACGTTTTCGTCCGCGATGTTTTTGCCGCGATGTTATCGGCGGACACCCTTCTTTTTTGTAGAAGTTTATTGCTACAGTAGCACAGGCGTCAGGTGACCTCAAAAACGTGATAATGATCAGCAATACCTGAAAGATAAGTAATAGGCAGGACCCATGAAAATCGAATAACTCAAATTCCGCGAGGTTCACAAGCGGCCCAGCGGTAAAGTCCCTAAACACTGGTAGTTTGGTTCGAGATTTCAGTCCCGCCGAATGGGCTGGCTGCATGGGCATTCTCCTGGCCTTCCTCATGTCTAATGTATATGTAAGGCAGTTTTCCTTGAACGTCTCCCACGAAGGCATAACTATTCGTAGGCTAATAGCCCTTGAATGCTTTGCTATAATATTGGAGTAAATAGGTAGGTCGGCAACTGTGTAAGAATTTTAGTTAAATAGGGCCATGGGCTAAAGAAATATTGGTTCTGAAGAAAATAATATAATGCTCATAGATGTCAAAGCAAAGTTGTAATAAATGTCTTACGGAAGGTAGTTATTTCGGTGCCTGTGGTTTCATAAAATTTAACAACTCTTGATTCCATGACTTTATTTTATATCACGTAAATTTTCTCCATAGCAAAATATTACTTCTTTTTATTCATTGCTTTACGTCTTACTCAAGGTCTGCCTCATTGATTCAACGAGTATAAACATTGTCAACTGAGCCGATAAGCCTTTTCCGACTGAGTCAACATTTAAAATACTTCTTCCGAAGGTTTTAGTCAAGTTTGCAATAATCATATCTTTTTCTGGTTGATCTGGGTCTGTGACGGATGAGCAGTATTGAACATGCTCAAGCAATCTCTGCAACGCACCGATTGTCAGCTCCTTGCTGTGTGAGTTCAACAACTCGCTGATGTAAAAATTATCATCTTCGAAACCTAATCGCATGGCAAGATTGACAACTTCTGTTACGTGAGTGGTTTTGATCAGTTTATGACGTTCTCATCTCGCTTTTGAAAAAAGAAATTGAATTTTGTCTTCTACATACTATTCAAGAATTTCGGGGATGTTCCATTCTTAAGATTTTAAAACAATTCTTAATACATTTAAAACACTAAATTATATCCAAAGAAACCTTTAAATGTCAGTTGATTGTTTGGCTTCATACGGAGATAGTCAGACGACCATCTCGTGGAATAAGCTTGAATATTTTGATAGCTATTTCGTTCAATCGGTTGAATCAAGCCTCTTGTGCTTGCAATTCAAGAGAACAACTTTCATGCCTGAGGAAATAATCAGTTGAAGTGGCAAGAGAATGACTTCAGGTGAAAATGCCATGAAAACAACCAATCTTATAAAAACGAAAGCTGTCACCCAAGCTTTAAAACGTGATTTTCAAATCACTGACAAAACTTACTTTTTAATATTATTTGTATTCTGTAGCCAACTTACTTCATCCCAGCCTGTAGTGTCTAAGGAAAACAGGACGCAATCTCTTATCTACGCTTAGGGTCCGAGGTAAGCTTTTTGCCGTGCGGTGTAGTTTCTTGCAGGTATTAAATTTGCTGCTGTGTGCTTCTCTAAGTTGGAAACATTTTACCTTCCCTAAATTCTGCCACTGGACCACATGGCAGGCTACTACTCTGGCGGCGGTCCTATCTGCACTTGTTGCATCTCTTCTTTCGCGATGCTGTAGCAATTACAACGAGTTTTAAATCGGTTGAACCATTCGTTTACTAGCTGTAAAGTTTTCCTCTTTGGGTGACTGTCTAGCTTCTTCTCTCAACCTGTAAAAAATCAGCTTAGTTTGACGACACACCATCTTCTGATTGACTGGACAAACTCTTTCTTAAGAACTATTTCAAAATAATGAAGTGTCATAAAGTTTTCATTAGAAATCAGTAATGATTTTTGGGTGTGAACGGAACAATACGTTCTGTGATTACTCAAAAATATATTATGGAATTGGTAAAAACAGTGAATTAAAACTACTGATGTAAAATACAAACAAAGCACTTAGTTTAAAAAATGAGTATGAGTAATTTCGATTTAAACATTTAATATTCATAACAGGGAAAAACTGTGTTTTAAATTTTCTCTTCATTTGAAATGAACCGATTTCGATTACCTTCCCAAAACGACCATTTTTTAAAATAGCAAATATTTCCGAAAAACTAAATTAAGATGTTTACTAAATCTCAATACTATTAATGAACTGGTAATAAGTAATCACACAACGTATTATTCCGTTCATCACCAAAAAATTATTACAGATTTATAATGAAAACTTTATGACACTTCCTTATTTTGAAATAGTTCTTAAGACAGAGTTTGTCCAGTCAGTCAGAAGACGTCATCAAATTAAGCTGATTTTTTAGAGGTTGAGAGAAGAAGCTAGACAGTCTCCCAAAGAGGAAATCTTTACAGCTAGTAAACGAATGGTTCAACCGATTTAAAAGTCGTTGTAATTGCTACAGCATCGCGAAAGAAGAAATGCGACAAGTACAGATAGGGCCGCCACCAGAGTAGTAGCCTGCCATGTGGTCCAGTGGCAGAATTTAGGGAAGGTAAAATATTTCGAACTTAGAGAAGCACACAGCAGCAAATTTACTACCTGCAAGAAACTACACCGCACAGCAAAAAGCTGAGCTCGAACCCTAAGCATAGATAAGAGATTGCGTCTTGTTTTCCTTAGACACTACAGGCTGGGATGAAGTAAGTTGGCTACAGAATACAAATAATATTAAAAAGTAAGTTTTGTCAGTGATTTGAAAATCACGTTTTAAAACTTGGATGACAGCTTTCGTTTTTTTGAGATTGGTTGTTTTCATGGCATTTTTACCTGAATCATTCTCTTGCCCTCAACTGATATTTCCTTATTCATAAAGTTGTTCCTTGAATTGCAAGCTCAAGAGGCTTTGATTCAACCGATTGAACGAAATAGCTATCAAAATATTCAGCTTATTCCACGAGATGGTCGTGACTATCTCCGTATGAAGCCAAACAATCACTGACTTTTAAAGGTTCTTTGGATATAATTTAGTGTTTTAAATGTATTAAGAATTGTTTTAAAATCTTAAAAATGGAACTTCCCCAAAATTCTTGAATAGTATGTAGACAACAAAATTCAATTTCTTTTCCAAAAGCGAGATGAGGACGTCATAAACTGAACAAAAACACTCACGTAACAGAAGTTGTCAATCTTGCCAAGCGATTAGATTTCGAAGATGATAATTTTTACATCAGCGAGTTGTTGAACTCACACAGCAAGGAGCTGACAATCGGTGCGTTTGCAGAGATTACTTGAGCATGTTCATTACTGAAGAAGCTCATCCGTCACAGACCCAGATCAACAAGGAAAGTATATGATTATTGCAAACTTGACCAAAAACTTCGAAAGAAGAAGTAATTTAAATGTTGGCTCAGTTTGAAAAGGCTTATCGGCTCAGTTGGAAAATGTTTATACTCGTGGAATCAATGAGGCAGACTTTCAGTAAGACGTATAGCAATGAATAAAAAGAAGTAATAGTTTGCTTTGGAGAAATTTTACGTGATAAAAAATAAAGTCATGGGTTCAAGAGTTGTTAAATTTTATTAAACCATAGGCACCGAAATAATTGCCTTCCGTAAGACATTTGTTAAAGCTTCGGTTTGACATGTATGAACATTATATTATTTTCTTCAGAACAAATATTTCTTTAGCCCATGGCCCTATTTAAGTAAAATTCATACATAGTTACCGATTGACCTATTTACGCCAATTCGACTGGTCTATTTGTTTATGGCAAAGCAATTCTATAAGACGACTACATCCACAAAAGTTCAAAATACCTTTCATACTATTCTGAGCATCTTAGACGCATTCATACTTCTGCAATGTTTTTCCCATTCGATGTTTTGTGCTTGCTTTATTTTTTACCGTGATATTTTTTTACGACGTGATGATCACTGACCACACGTTTTGCGATTTTTTAGATGCGATTTTCCCGAATATTTTTTCTACCACGACTACGTTTGTAATTATGGTTTCCTTGCATTGTTTTCTCCGAGACGATTTTACTTAATGAGGTTTTTTCATCATTTATGTAGACATTAACATATTTCTACAACAAGATAATATACTTACACCAAGTTTCGCAAAACAGGAAGAATGGCAAGTTATAATTACTGAATCAATCATAGGGCAATGCAATACTACTGCATTTTATAGCAATAGAATATCTTTCTGTATCTTAGGCTTAAAGGATTAGTAAAGAAATAAACGAACGTTTTAGTCTTAAGGAAGGGGAAAGTTCTTTGGATCACTAATCTTTGTTATGAATGCTTCTCACCTGAAGGACTAATGCAGTCGTCTTAACATTTTCCACAGTTCCATTTCTAAATTGGCGCTGTTTCAATTCGAGTGTCATGTCTTTGATCTCACCCATGCGAAGTTACTGTAGCTGTAAGGCAGCGCAGATAAGCCATTCATAAGGGCTTGCGTATCTGCAAAATAAACATGCATGCAGTAATTACTTCACCTATTACTATAAATTATATGTATGTATATACGTCTGTGTCTGATGAAAGAGACGTAGCAATGTTGACGGCGTAGAACGTTGAACATAGAGTCCCTAATATACAGCAAATTTAGCATTCGAGGCAGATTAAATATTCATCTTTATTTCAGTTTACATTAGCAGCCATAATTTACTTGGCTCTCTAATCGGGACTATTCAAGAATATTTATATTTTTGATATTGTGGCGATAGGAGCAGAGCAGCGACGATAACAAAAATACAAATACGAGTGCGCAGTTACCCAATATGGAAGCTCGGCAGGAGAAAGGCTTCGCTTTTAGTTCTTATATAGAAAGTTTTTCTTCTCGAAATTTTGAGTTCAGGTTCCGAACTTAGCGTTTGCAACAGCGTTATGCAAATTTGGTCATTGAGTTATGCAAGTCTATGATAATAACTGATTAGAATGACGCAGTGCAGAAAACGGCTTGCTTTTCAGAATAGAGAGAGAGAGCGAATTAAATACTATCTAATTTAAATTATAATTTTGATTACATATTTTTAACTTATTTATGAGAAAAAACTGAGCTCGCCGTACGGGTGAAAAAAGAAAGAGTGAAAAGACTTGTTAATTTTTTGTGTTGTGGTTATTTATTTAGTAGTATTCTATGACTCAAATGTTCATTTTTGATATTATCTTTCCTGTCTAATAAATAAATATCTAAAAGTGTACCTCCAGAACTCCGCTGTTTGCGCCAAACATCTCGGAAGCTTCTCGACATCTTGGGAAGAGATTGTCTCCGGCATTCAGAGAGCGATATTGCGAACGGATTTGTGGAATTCCTGTGAATCGACGCGCTTTCTAGCTCCGTCACCAGGTCTACTACGTAGAACTTTCTGGGATTATCAAGACACGAGAAAGCATTAATGAATGCAGCCATCCGTATTTGAAACATCTTCAATTTTTTTCCTAAACATAATTATAAATAAGTATTTAAATTTACTGATTATTTATACAGTAAACTGATTTACTTTTTACGTAAGTTTAAAATAAATATGGATATATTTTTTTACTCTAAATAATTTTTTAAATGCATCCAATGTTTCCTTTTTATTGTTCCTTCACATAGTTACATAGTGTTGTACCACACAGTGTGCATGTAATGAGAAAGCGAAAAAAATAACTACTTGTACTTTCAGATGAAATTCTTGCTCAGTTGTGGAAAAATTTCAATAATTTTCGATAAATTTTGAGAAATTTTATATTTGCTGTCATAAAATAAATCACCAAGAAACTTATGCAGATGATTTTAATATTTTAACCTTCTAAGAGTTCAAATACAATGCGAATATATACGCTGTAAAGGATAGAAAATCGTATTACGTATTTTTGCTGTAATGACATTTCTAAAACCAAATTACTGTAACGTATTATTTATTTTGTGTTAGTCAACAAATTATAAAATATACTTGAGCACAAATACTTATTTTAATATGTCCAGAATGCTTAGTAATATAGTGCGTCCGTAAAGTCATGGTGCACTTTTGATCGGTCATAGGAAAACAACAAAATAAGATGGAAATGTAAAATCTTCACCAAACAAAAGGAAAACTCTCCGAGTTTCCGTAGTTTTATGTGCAAGTATGTGTGCACACAGGTGATGACGATTTGGGTTTACTACAGATATGCTTCATGAGGTCGACAGTGATAACCGATTTCTCAGAAGTTTGTGTTTAGCGATGAGGCGACATTTCCTGTTAGTGGACATCTTCATTGCCATAACATCCGAATATGGGATGCTGAAAATCATCATGCCCGCGTAGGGTACGCGTAGGGTACCAGCCCTAAAGTGAACGTGTGGTATGACTTGATGCATGATAACGCGATAGAACCATTTCTATTTGCGTAGTAGACTGTGACGGCATGAATGGAGCCCACATCAAACTGCATTGAATTGGTATACTAACTTTAAGAGTTTTTCTTTTGTTTGGTGAAGATTTCACATTTCTATCTTGTTTCGTTGCTTTTCTGTGACCGATCAAAAGTGCACCATAACTTTGCGGACGCACTGCGATGATTAAATTTATTATATTTTGTACTGAAATATTTTTTAGTAGAAAAATCATTCCCAAGAAAAGCAGACAAAAAGTGACCTTGAAATATTTTTCATTTACACCATCTCATAAGTAATCTAGAAAGATACACTGATTGTTAGAACGACTGGATAATATTTTCATTTGTTTATTCGAAATTTATTCCATTTGAAGTAGTTTTATTCCAAATGCATATGCTTACATTAATAATCCTACCTGAGAATAAAAAAATCCGAAGGGACTTAGTCGCTGAGCTGTTTGAATTTTCAGAATGCTATTGTATACTATAATTCGTGCTATTTCGTGTGTCTTGGAAATTTCATACATATATTCTTTTTTTTCCAAGAATATGACAAAATAAAAATTATTCAGTTGCAACTTACAGAGCAAGTCTTGAGAAGAACTGGAGACTGAGTTCGTAAGGAATGGTGTCTCGCTGTTGACGAACACGAGAAAATGAGTTTTGTTCTGGTTCGGCAGCAAGGTATAAAGCAACAGCTATTCTGTTCAGTTCCGGACCCCATTTTCCTATTGAGGAATTGAGCTTTGACTGCGCCAAAAGGTAATTAATGGCCCTTTTCTTTGAAGCATTTATTTCTTGTATTCTTTTATCATACTCAGTTGCTAAAAGAAATATTAGCATTTATCGAAAGAAAATGAACTATTAAAAGCATTAAAAATTTTTGCTTTAAATTCACTGCTCTGAAACTTGAAAATATGGTCACAACCAAGGAAAGAATAAAAATTAAAATTTCTGATACATTGGCGTTATTTAGCATTGTATTACAGGAAGCAGTATCTGCTCTGTCTTATGATTTGCTGCAGGAATACATGCAGTTATTTTGAATTTTTCTAATTTAATACATTGTAAACAGATTTCGAGTTTAGTCATGTTTGGTATGCCTTTGATATATTGTATCTACGTTGTCAATATAGGCGTTCTCATCAGTAGTCAATGTATTCAATTCGATTGTCTTTATTTTAAATATTTTTTAAAGTTAATTAATTTATTTATTTAGAGTTTTGCATATTTACCGCTTTTGATTACATTTTGGTAATTGGAAAAATCGCTATCATCGTCTTCAATGTATTCATCTTTTTAGACATGGCCACTTTCAGAAAACGGAAGGAAATGAACGATACTGATACGAAACTGAATTCGGATAACTATGTAAAGGACGTTTTAGTCTAAAATATTCTAGTCCGTGACATGGTAGCCCGTAAAGTGAGTAAGGTGTATGATTTCCGACATTAACAATGAAGGAGATTCTGTTCTAGAGAATGATTTGTTTTGTCATGAAGACGACAATTATTGATATGAAATTCATATTTCACGACACTCAAATATGTTTGAAGTTCATCCTCCGGTCATTATACTTCTATCTTAGTGTGACTCTATAGCCGGTGTGACTAGATTGATGTTTGGGTGACTTGTTGGAAATAATCTGCAAGAAGATGCCTACTTATCATGATCAAACCTTAGTGAAACATACATCACCTACACCACTCATGTAATCTTTTGTTACATAAGAAGACATGCAGAAATCTCTTTGCCCAATTCTTCTAATGCGGCAAACAGGAAAGAATAGCTGGAAAGATTATTAGTCCACAGATACTGTCATAGTTAGTCCTGTATTTTCATAAGCTATGAGCTTCAATATATTTAAATAAATATTGTCATTCCGTTTCGTTAATGATAATAACGGGCTCGAAAAAACTCTTAAAAGTTCACTATGTGTTGAATAGTAAAGGTTCGAAAGGACTCTTCAACATTCATTTATTTATTAAGTATTATTTCTTTCATAAATTCAGGATAGTATGCAAATGAAAGCAGCAGTTGTATTTGGGCGACGGATGAGTCCATAGAAATGACGCCTCAGGTTTGCAAGGTACAATCCTGCAAAGATTATAAAGTATGGTTTACATGTTAGACTGGTGTACTAGAGTGGCACAGGCTATATCTGCAGGATATAGATTGACACTGGTGAATCTATATCTGCAGGATATACATTAACACTGAAGAATCTATATCTGCAGGATATAGATTGACACTGGTTAACAAAAGAATTTAGAAGTAACTACTCTTTCAATTCTTGATCGTTATATTGGTCCTTGGCACCAAATCTATAAGAGCAATTATTTTAACAGTACTCACTGTTGGCTTACTAACTAAAAGGCAAAACTTCAATCTGTCGAACTCTTAAGGTGAAAAGAGGTTTAGCACAAAATCTGAAAACAAAACATCAAGAATGAAGAAAGGTGACATAGTAATCTGTAGAAAAGATGACGTTCTTCTTCTCGAATGGAAAGAAAAGCAAGATAAAGGTGTCAACAATTTATGACATTTCTGTCTCAATGAAATGTTTCAATACAATCTCAGTGTTAGGCAAAATTTGGAAAAATCCATTTAAATTAACCAGAAATTTATAATTTCAGCCTTTATTATAATTTTTCCTTCCGTTACTTTTGCAATGATTAAAGTTTTCGATATCGGCATATTTCTTTATTTCAACTACTCTATTAGACACAAATGGTGTCCAGTCCTTTGCCATCATTTTATCCTGTACAAACAGAGGAGTCTGTCTGAAGTGAAACATAACTCCCTTTGAATACATTTTTCAGGTAAAGAGCAATTACTGCACTTATTAATTCTAATCTCGGTAGTGTGAGTTTTTCAGCGGAAAACCTGTGGCTTTAGCAATCACAAAACTAGTGTTGATGTGGGGTCCTTCTTGAAACCGGAAATGCACAACAGAATGCATATTTCGATATTAACATGGTCATATATTCTTCTTAATGACGTTAAGTGTTTCAGGAGAAAGACGAATGCTGGCAGCCTTTTGTTTAGCTGATAAGCATTTAGTTTTATTTAGAAATCTATAAAACTACTTTTATTCAAAAATGAGTATTTATAAACATTTTCTTGTTTAATTTATAAAACATGTAAAACATCCTCTAATTCTAGATAGAAGAATGCATAAATATATTTTTCAAGTTTTGGAAAGGTAGAAAATTAATTTTCTGACAGTGGTGAAGGAGATGTATTTTTGATACATGAAAAATCAAAAAACATTTTACATGGCAAAATTCCTACGGTATGTGTTGGTTCCTACGGTATATGTTTCTACGGTTGTATTCCTACGGTATGTGTATACTTTCGCAAAACCATTTTCGAATTTATATTTAATCTTTACTGCAAGGTCATCGTTAAAGCTCTTCTTCAGATATTCTCAGAGCTATCTATTTATATTTGTATCATTTTGTATTGCAAGAAGTTTTGCATAAAGCGATTTAAAACTTTCACGCATTAATTCCGTGTTATTTAAAAAGAATTCGTGAAAAAACAAAGAAATTAATGAAAAAGGCCAATGAATAAACCTTAAGTTTGTTAACTATAGAAATAATGGATTAAAACATATAGTTAAATTGCAATGAAAATAAGTAAAACGTCAATGTGTCATAAAAATATTTTCAATGGACTGGGTGAATAGCAAAATAAATGAAGATTAAAATTTGATTTAAAATAGTAGAATGAAAATTTAAACTTGCAATTTAAATTTAAAAGCATAAGCTGATACATTTATGTATAAATATATTATATTTCAAAAAAAAAATCGAAAATATTACCCAATTATCGTTAACACAGAATATTTAACATTATTGATCCCATACATACGGCAATTATTTTCTTCTTCTCCATTGGGACAGTCTTTCATTCCATCGCAAACCCATACTTTAAGAATACATTTAGCATAAGAATTATAATCGAAACTTTCGCCACAATAAAAGAAGTTGTTTTGGGGGCACTCTCCATCTGTTTAGAAATATAACATACTAATAAATATTTGTAAGAGATTTTCATGAACGTTTAATAAAAAGAGTAGATAGAATATGGGGGTTCTACGCCACAGGGATCAGGGATCCGTGGGATCCCAGAGGGCGTGCCTCCTGAGGCGCAGAGGGGGCAGAGAATTTACGAAGTAGCACGGAAGGGTTGCTACGTCATCAACCACGTGGCTCAAGCACGGGTGCGTTGCATCCTGTTCGTGACGTCATCCCGCATTATCACTTCGTATTATCTTGCTATTGTTATGTCAGACACATGTTTCATCCTTTTTGTGTAGTAATCCGGTTTCATGTACACGTTTATCGATTGACATAGAACTCCCCGCTGCTTTGATGTCATACTAAATTCGCATCCTGATTGCAGATACATGTTAGAATTTCTAGAACATTCTTTTTAGTTCAGCCACGACCGCAAGAGAGTAGTAGTCTTATCCATAGCGCTTTTTGATTGGTTCTCGTGGATCCTGAACAAGTTATTAACCATTATTTTTAATTGATTATACTATTTGACTTAATGATTAATATATTTAATGAAAAAGTTCATCTATTTACCTGTAAATTTCAATTATTTGTCCATCTGTGGCATGGGAAACCTGGACGATAACAAAAGCCGTGCTTTTATCTCATGAATCATATTATTTGATCTTATCTATCCGATCGTATCTATTCTCTTTGTTCATCTTTGTGCAGCGGAAACCAGCATGAGGCTGATGGATTGCACATAGGGAATTCTGTTCCATCTTGCTCAGACCTTTGAACATCCTCGAACATAATGAATGAATTCATAACTTTAAATTTATTTTGTTTCTATTTTAGGTTAAGATATTTTAAATTTCTCATTTCTTTATCTTACAAACATAATTTAAGTATTTTTCTTTTCTTCTCGCCGTTAAATTAAATGTACTAATTTTCACTCCATATGTTTTATATACAAACATAAGATTTTCTTTTTTTCCTCCCATTTTTAAGTTTTACATTCTTTTCCCCTGCGTTTAACTTGCAAAAGTAATAGATTTTATAAAAGTAATATGTTTTCACAATTTTAATTTTTTTTTCTCTTTTTATTTTACAAAAGGTTTTTTCCTCTTCACTTTAATTTTCCTTTCCGTGTCAAGTTCACATATGATTTAATAAGAATTTTAATGCCGTTTTCATAAAACAAAATTAAATTATCTTCATAAATCGACCTCAGGCTAGAGTCAGTACTAGTAGGTACAGTACTCTAGCGGCTAAGATTATGTCACAGAAGGGAATAGCCTAGCACTCCAAATATCATCGTCTTGGAATCACGTGATCTCGGAAGGATGTGGATGCTGTCATCTTGGATGACGTAATACATTACAGTTTTTCTTCTGTATGGCAACAAGATATTTCGCCTTAAACCACGTGTTTGAAATAGAACTTTTTTTTTTTTTTCTTTTTTAATAGAACTATTCGTTTAGTCCACTATTTTTGCTTTCATATTTTACTTACATGACCTTAGTCTTTAATCGTTATCGATATTTAACGTAATATTTTTATTGATGAAAATTTATTACATATTTATTTCAAACATAGAACTTTATGTAATAACTTTTTGTGTAATTTTGGGTGAACATTTCATACATACGTCCAAGCATTGAATAAACCTATAATGCAGATTTGAATGTGTATATTGAGACTTCTGTACGCCCGAACAATGGCACTGAGCTATTATTTATGTCTTTCAAATATA